GTTGCGTAGTCAGCCAGATGTTTAGACTGCATTTGCCATTTTTATCCACCTATCAAGTCCTTCCCAAGGACCTGGGATAGGCAGATGTTGTTGTTTGATGGTGTTAAAGGTATTGTTGCAGGATGTCAGCTGTTCCAAGTAAAGCTGCTGCTGCTGCTGCTTGTTGTTGTTACTGTTGTTGTTGTTGTTGTTGTTGTTATGGTTGGTTGCACAGTCAGCCAGATGTTTAGACTGGATTTGGCATTTTTATCCACCTATCAAGTCCTTCCCAAGGACCTGGGATAGGCAGATGTTGTTGTTCGATGGTGTTCATACATCCCAGGATGTAAGCTGTTCCAAGTAAAACTGCCTTTTGCAATTGACTGATGGTGATTTTGTCAATGCTGATGGTGTTCAAGTGGTGCTCCAGATGTTTTGGGATTGCACCTAAGGCGCCTATAACTATTGCTACTATCTTTCCTTTCTTTTGCCAGCGGCGCTGCTGCTGCTGCTGCTGCTGCTGCTGTTATTATTATTATTATTATTATTTGCACAATTAGCCAAATGTTTAGACTGGATTTGGCATTTTTATCCACCTATTGAGTCCTTTATTATTATAATTATATATAAAAAAGGTGGGATAAAAATATAATAAGTCAAGGCAGTGAACATAGCTAAATATTCCTAGTTTCCCCACAACAACAACCCTGCGAGGTAAGTTGGGCTGAGAGAGAGTGACTGACCCAAAGTCACCCAGCCAGCTTTCATGCCTAAATGTTAAATGTTGTAAACTTATCAGTAGGTGGTGTAGTGTTGCTGCTGCTGCTGCTGCTGCTTTATCATCACAATCGCATAAAACAGGTTGGTCCGATTATCTTTGCAAAGTGGCTCTGGTGCTGTTTTATGTCTGCATCAGGATTCCATGCCTTGTAAGGGCAATGCTAGCCTGAGGGCTTTGCAGCTCCCCCTCTGTAGCTCAGACAAAAGAAGCAGTGGTGAAAGTGGCAAGAAGTATATTGGTTTCTCTGTTCTCTTCAAGACAGCATAAGCTGGGTTTGAAAGGTGTTCTTTTTCTTTTTCGTTTTGTATGGAGTAGGGGAGGTATTTGAAGAACCAAAATAGCAGCAATATGGAAATGCCCTTTCTCAAATTAGCGGGTCCAAATGACTGTCTCCAACTTATGTAACTCAATAATAATAATTTGGTTGTTCTGAGAAACCATCTTGGACCATCCAGTAGTTTAGATCAGGAACCATCTGCCTGATTTAGAATTATAGTGCAGCAACATTTTCTCACCAGCAGAGGTCAGGATGGCATCACCTAGTAAGAATTTGTCTCCCACCCCCTCGCCCTTCCTGCCCCCCTCTGCAGCCCGTATTCTGCTGTAGAAAGAAACATTTACTCTGGCACGGTCAGCCTTGCCCCGTAGCAACAGAATGAAGCATCCTGTCTCAGGCAATAGAATGGGGTCCATACGAATAGGAATGGTCTGAATAGGAATGTAGTATTACTTGCAGTAATACTATAAAATGTTGGCCTAGTAGTAAAGGGGTACAGTTTCGGCTCTGCCTGAAATGCCGAAATAATTTGGTCTGTAAAATGTTCCCTTCTGTATGAGCATCTATCTGTGCTTACCGTGATGAACATATGACTATCACTGGTGAATGTGGCCAGTACATTTTTCAAGGGGAAAGCCTTGCAAGAAGCTGTATCCACACTTTTGAAAGCAGAGTGCCTGCAGGCAGCATTTCTGAGATGACACACTTCCCATCTTTATTCCCTTTTTTCTCAAATGGGCTAAAAAGGCAAGGGTGAAAAGGTATTTTCATTCCCTTAAGCCTACACCTGATTGCCCTCTTTCTCTTACTCAGCAGCATATATTAATACATGCATGCGCGCACCTTCCTTTGTGCCATGCTGATTGCATTCAGAGGCTTGGCCAACAAAGCCAGCAAAAACTTGTGGGTCTCTGTTTCTCAAGTTTTGTTAAGCCCCTGAGGAAAGGATACCGTGCTTAACAGATACGTAAAGGGAATATTGGCAACCCATAGGGAAGAAGGATGGGGCAGTAGCATATTGATGTCCCAGCAGAATTCTGAGGAAGTGAGCTCCATTAGCAGAGCCTGGAGCAGGAGTACTCTAGCCTTGGGACAAGACATGGAGGAAGCTCCTTGATGAGGACATGTGCATTTGCATGTGTTTATTGATTATTCTCATGCCAGCAACCTTATTCTGGGAAGGATCTGGGTCCTTTTTGATCACCAGTATTTGCTCTCATTTAATTTCTCTATCCTATTCTGTTAGGCTCATTATTACACAAGTTAGTTTTCAATCCTGGTCCCGAGTATTTTCCAGAATCTAACCTGTTCCATTTAGTAGAGATAAGCCTGCTACAAGATCACTTTTGCGGGTAGCTACAGAACCTAGGAGATGTGTATTTCTAGTTCACTGGCTATTTATAATGCTTCCTCCCACTACTTGGAGTAAGTGTCCGAGTTTCTAAATACATCATATTCCCTGTTTGCTCTTCAGCTCATCCATCACTTCAGTCTGTCCCTACCATTGCAAATTCCTTCCTTCTTGAGTGAGTCATTGGATGGTTCTGGGAAAGATTATGATTTTCAACTTTTCAATTTACTTCCTCATTGGCTGAAGCTATCGTACTGTATGTGCGCCAATCTTTCACTGCACCTTTCATCTCCACTGCTGAATTAATATTTGCTAGTGCTGCAGGAATATTGTGCTTATTCCTTCTCCATATGTTACTCCGGTGTAAATGTTGTTAGCCAGGAATAGCATGGATACCTTTTCAAATGGAACCTCTTTTCCTGTTCAATTTTTTAAGCTAACCAAATCAACCCAGAATCACTTCTGTGCAGGTATTTTGGGGGATAAGAGAATTGAACTACAAAATGGATTCCTTGGTTCCAGAAATTACTTCTGCTTTCTCAAAAAACAATCCTTGAATGTGACATATGCTGCTAGTTTTCTTTGTCAAAAGTGAGATCACTTAATAATAAACCTCCTTTAAATATCTTTATGAAAATTAGTAAGCTTAGTGTATTCATACACAAATTTATTTGATTAATGATCAGAACAATAAAAGAGTTGGGCAGCAACATTACATTAATATAGCATAATAAAAATTAATTTAAAACATTAAAACTATACTCTGGTTTCTCTT